CACACACACACACACACACACACGTGCACACACACACACACACACACACACACACGGGATCAATAGTTCATCACAACTGTGCAAACGCTCCAACACACACAGGTGGACCCAGACATCTGCTCTCGGCGCTACTGTTGGTGGAAAAGAGGAAGTTTGGTGCAACTTCCACAGGTGACATTTCTGTATGTTGGTTTTTAAAAGATCAAACTCCTAATCTTTACATAAGCACTCTATTTCTCCATCCCCATTGTGCTAACTACTTCCCATATTCTCTTTGTGAGGGCTCATCCCATAAGAAAAACAACAAATAATAGGAAAATAATCGCTTTTGGGTGTTATAACTGATCTCTTCTCTGCTGCATGTGAACCTGCTGTCAGGTTTAGGGAAGTTGTCGCGGCTGCAGCCAACTGCCACAACAGAGAGCAAAGGAGAGGAGACATAAAGATAAGAAACAAAGATAAAAAAAAACATAACAGAGGAGGGATTAGGTTCAGCACAGGGATTTAAGGCGGGATTACTGACTGAACAGGCAGACAGGAGGTCACAAACTGGCTTGCTGAACAGAGCTGACGTGTTTTTGCTCTCCACAGTGCTTACCAAAAAAAAAAACATATTTCCTCAGCCGAGTAAACAGGCTGACATTAATTACCCCACTGACTCCATCCAGGAAAAGAGGACAAACAAAAGAAAAGTGTTAGTTTGAAAACACGCGTCATGAAAAGACAAGGGGAACAGAGAGAGCACGCAGGTGCTGAGGGCATAAGCTGAACTTGTGTTGTGGACACAAAATTGCAGAGCGTCTCTGAAAAGCAGACAAGTCTGACTAAATGAATATTTAGACGGCTAAAAAGGGAAAAGACTAGTTAATTGTCAGAAGGAACTGTAGGAGTCTGAAAATCCAACATAAAGTCTGTCAGCTCTATTTTAATATGGCTTTTAGGACATCAGGATTTAACCACACACACGTGTTTGTCTCTAACTCGCTGACAGTATACTAAATAAGAAAAGCAAAGAAGGATGCTCAGATCAAACAAACAGTCCCGTGTGCAGAAACTAAATCAGGGATATTCAACTAAATTGCTCAGGGACACAGTTACTCAAAGCCAACAGCTCAGGGGACATTGCCTAATAACTAGGAAAAACACAGCAATATGTAAAAGAACAAGTATTATTATATTTTATCTTTTTTTAAACTTTTTAATTAATATATTTAATAGTTTAATTGTTTTGTCGGGCTGGACTGAAATCACCCAGGGGTCAGATGTGGCCCACGGGCCGCCAGTTGAATAGCCTTGCTTCTTGCTTTAAATCATAAGAGAAGACTATACAGTAGGTTGTACTGCACTGAAAGACATGCTGAGCGGAAGAAAAGAAAACTGTACGTTTTGGGGTAAAAACTGCACAAGAGTACATGAAAAAAGTTGGGATTTGGGGAAATGTAAGAGAAGACCATACGTCCAACGTCTGTTTGAACTTTGAATGATGTAACTCTCTGTAAAGTTTGTCTAAGCTCCAAGAGGACTTGTGAGTTTCACGAGTCTTTTCTCATGAACTGGGGAAGTGGTGGCGCAGAGGTCAGAGAAGGTGACCCTGTGATCGGAAAACCACGGGCTCAACTCTCCGAGCCGACCAGCCCCACCCCGGGCCCCCAAGCAAGGCTGCTCCCCGGGCCCCTCACAAATAACTGTCCACTGCTCCACATGTGCGATGAGTGAAAAGCAGATCATTCTTAAATTTCCCCCAGGGGATCAATAAATTATCTACATCATCCCCATGAGCTGCATGTTTTTGTGCATAATATACACAACAGGCACAAAACCTCTTGACACAAACAGCAATAAGGATGTTTGAATTTTTCTACACCACCACCTTTAATAACTGCTCTGCTTTGGGTCAGAGCTTAAAATCTGTTGTGTTCATTTTGAATTCAGCGAGACAAAGAAAAAGCACTCACACACAGTGATTTGCATGTCACCACCTTGGCTTTTGAACGCCACCCAACAAACCGAATCACCAACTGACCCAAAAGCCTCTCCTCTCCTCTCCGGCTGGTTCACACACAAACACCTGGCCCACAGAGATAAAGCACAAGTGCTTCAGAGTCACACAGTCTCAAACCTGTTTATCACCTGATACTCATCTTTTGCATTAACATATGCAAACCTGCAAAGGCTTCAGTGCTCCGCTGCACGCAAAGCACGCCGTGGAAAACAACTGCTTTTAATATCATTTAAAGCAAGAACAAACGTCAGGCAGACAGGGCTGAGAATGAGCCACAGTTAGATTTCATTCATTCTAAAAGGTGCAATCGAGAAGCAAGGAAACGTGAGCTAAAGTCAACTTTCACTCAGAGATGATGCTTTCATAGCTGTTAATATAAAACATGATCTTGCAGGGAAACAAAATGAGCTTTTAGTTTGTATAGACAAATAAATTACAAATGTCTCTGTTCATTTGAAGCAACGCAAAGCAATTATATATATATATATATATATATATATATATATATATATATATAAAACAGCCTGCATTCATTACGCACGAATTACACATGGAGCTGGGCCATTTTTACGCACGGCACAGTTTGGGTATTTATGGACATTTAAAGATAAGAAGATTAAAAAAGCGTCTGATTCATGTCAGTTTGACAAAGTAAAAATGTTGACACTTTTTAAAAACATAAAGATGTGGGATTAGCAGGTCTCCATAAATCTACCTGCGCAGAAACCTCGGCACGATATGATAATTTGCGTTTGGATTGTAGATCGTTGGATAAAACTCGAACTGGTTACTTTAAAATAATTAAAAAAAAAAGAGTTTTGGAAATAAAAAAAATAAATAAAAAAGCATATGTAATATATATCGAATCCAGAGTAAAATGAACAGTTGAAGAAAAGAGTCCAGCTGCCATTACGCTGATGTTCGAGGGTTTCTTTACTCACCACCATTAGTTTCATGGCCGGGTTGGATTTCACTGTCCGCGTGTTCATCATCCTTTCTGCGCGAGAGGGAACGGCGGTGTCATGCTGTCTCCATAACAGATGCGCTCTTATAACTGGGGGAGAGAGAGAGAGAGAGAGAGAGAGAGAGAGAGAGAGAGAGAGAGAGAGAGAGAGAGAGAGCTGCGGCTCTGAGCCCACCCACCAACTTACTCCCCCCAAAATTACAGCAGCCAGTCGAAACCATTTCGCAAACTTTGGGGCACAATTCAAGGTTCGACATGATTCCATTCATAAATACAGTCAAAGTATGATTTAAAAAAAAGAAAAGAAAACTCCACTGGTGAACAGTGGATTCATAACAAACACACATCATGAAAAATCTCATATTCTTCATGTTTGAGTTTATAGCAGGGGGGGTCAAACTCATTTACACACCGGGGGACCAAATTTCAAAACTTGGTCTAAACTTCAATCTGCCAATTTGTCTTGAAAAAAAAAAAGTCATATAACAAATTATTATTACAGAAATACAAATGACCTTTTCCTATTTATGTTGTAGCATTTCAAACAAATGGATAAAGATAAAAGATTAAATTGAGAAATACACATTTTCTTACGCCTCTACTAACAACTTTTAAATTTATTATTTCTTAGAGATACATTCTATCACAACCCAGCAAATCAGGTAATTAAAAAAAACACTTTAAAATAAGAAAAGAATCAGAGATGTGATTGTGAATGATCCTAATTTGTTTGAACAGCTCTTTACAAAAAACAACAAGCACAGCGTTGCAGACAGCAAAGAGCTGTTTGAGGTTTGTTTTTAATTCAACAAAAATCTCTCCTCAGAAGAGTGGAGTACAGTAGCTCCGCCCATGTGACGTGATGACATACTGGCTCTATGAAACAAACAGATCATCAAGATCCAGATTCTGTATAACAGCCACCCATCCCATCTCTAAACAGAACAGATAAAGATAATATAAAGCTGATTTTGAAAAAAATATCAAACTTAAATTTCTAGGCTTGAAAGTTGGGCTGCTGTCAAGAGAAGACTTCAAAAAAAAGTGTAACTATTTCACATTTAAGGTAGCCTGGTTTAAACCAGACCCTGTCCTTCACTTTGCTTCGTACAAGGGTCTGGACTTGATGCATAGACAAGTGATTCTTGCAGGAGGCGTGGCCTCTGCTGAAGTTTAAAATGATTGGATCAGTTGGCTGCGACGTATGTCGCTGTGACGGAGGCGGAGCTAAGAAGCTAACCGGAAATTGCCTGTGCTGTGAACAACACTACTGAGAGGAGAGAAGCACCGAGCCGAACGAGACGACTGTAAATGAGAGCTGCTGCTTTGTCAGACAAATTTATTTTAATTTGGAAGCTTTATCAACACAGACTGGTTTCATTCACTTCCTCCACTGCCGTATGCTAAAATAACTAGCAGACACTGCGCAGAAGGTCGATGTCGTTCAAAACTCCGCCTTCTGTTTGCTGATTGGTCCAGGTAAAACAAACTACAAGCAGACACTGCGCAGAAAATCGACGTTCTGTTCTCTGATTGGTTCGGCTAAAAATCTGCCAGCGAAATCCTTGTCTATGGGAGAAATCCCAGACAGAGCAGTGAAGGGAAACTAGAACTGAGCGAAGTTGCGTGGGAAGGCAAGGGCCAGGCTACATTTAAGGTATTGCCTTTGGGACTGGACAAAATGTTAACAAGGGCCAGATTTGGCCCACGAGCCTTCAGTTTGACACATGCGATTTACATTAAATTACTTGACAGATTTGAATGAAATCACTGAATGCACCTTTACAAGTGGTTAACTTTTAGAGTCAACCCAATTCAACAGGGGCACCAGAGCCAAAAGACTAAACACACGGGGAAAAAAATGGGGCTAAAACTTCACCAGTTCTACAAATATGAGTTAAAACCTGGTTTGGTTGTAGTCGAGAGGAATTCATAAAGACTTAACTGATCGAGTGAGATCTGTTTTTACAATGCCAATAACTATTAGTGTCTGTTTGCAAAATATTTCCTAAACCACTGGATGCATTTTAATGCAACTCACAGAAAGTAATGAAAGGATGAATATCTTCAACTGATAACCTTTTGGAGTCAGTCTGATTCAATACGGCCACCACCGTTAAGTAAACTTGAGAAACACCACACTTGTTATAACTTAGCCTTTACTGATAAAAAGCTAATTTGTTGTGGTTAAAGCTGAGCATCGTTCTCAATGCATACTCAGAGAGCTGCACGGCTTTTATACTGTTTGTCTTTGAGGAACATATCTTGTGGACAACTGGACAGATAGGTTCAATTTAAGGAAACAATCATTGGATTTCATGGATTTCCCTCTACAACTGAATAATTCTTAGCAACAACCCAGTTCAAGCAAAAAAAAATTGTTGAACCGCTGGAAAGATTTTACATTTTCTGAACGTGAACGCTTCTATTAAAATCTCACAAGCGAGGCAGCGGGGTGACATGCATTCCTTCATGGAACTGCTTGGCATTTCATTTCCAAATGTGATTTTAAGATTTCAGAGTCTCATCTTGGCCAGACATGCTCTGTTTCAGGCTCTTGCTAAAGTAAACAGTCTGAATCAGTGTCAAAATGTTTCCTTCTTTACTCATTGTTTAATTATCATGAAATCCCGCACATTGGGACTTGCATAATCAGGATGATAAGCAGCACGTAACGCACACCTCTAGCTTCTGTCATGACAGGAAACATTCTCCTACTGTGTGTGAAGAAACTGACTCGATCTATGATTTGTTTTAGAAAATATTTCTGGTTATAACAACTGCAATCTGGTGGGAAAGAATTTCCTTTATTTTGCTGATGAAGTGAGGGTAAAAACTAAATGCATTTATTATTGATGTTCTTAGTTGTTTCTCCTTGTATTCAACTGAAAATGTTGACAATTCCTTGGAAATTGATTCATATTTAGTGAGAACATAGCAAGAATTACAGTCCACCTATCAGGTAAGAGCATTGCAATCTCATTGGAAGCTTAAAAAAACTTTGTGTCTGTTAATAAGTCTCTTCCTATGGAGCCTGCGAGGGGACACAGGGGGATTTTTTTCCTTTTGCGTTCCCTCGCAATACTTTTGCTTTCCCTCGCAATACTTTTGCAATCCCACGCACTACCTTTGCGTTCCCTCGCAATACTTTTGCGTTTCCTCACGATACTTTTGCGTTCCCACGCAATCCCTTTGCGTTCCCTCGCAATACTTTTGCATTCCCACGCAATACTTTTGCATTCCCACGCAATACTTTTGCGTTCCCTCGCAATACTTTTGCATTCCCACGCAATACTTTTGCATTCCCATGCAATACTTTTGCATTCCCTCGCAATACTTTTGCGTTCCCTCGCAATACTTTTGCATTCCCTCGCAATACTTTTGCGTTCCCTCGCAATACTTTTGCGTTCCCTCGCAATACCTTTGCGTTCCCTCGCAACACTTTTGCGTTCCCTCGCAATACCTTTGCGTTCCCTCGCAATACCTTTGCGTTCCCTCGCAATACTTTTGCGTTCTCTCGCAATACTTTTGCGTTCCCTCGCAATACTTTTGCGTTCCCTCGCAATACCTTTGCGTTCCCTCGCAATACTTTTGCGTTCTCTCGCAATACTTTTGCGTTCCCTCGCAATACTTTTGCGTTCCCTCGCAATACCTTTGCGTTCCCTCGCAATACCTTTGCGTTCCCTCGCAATACTTTTGCGTTCCCTCACAATACTTATGCGTTCGCTCGCAATACTTTTGCGTTCCCTCGCATTACCTTTGCGTTCCCTCGCAATACCTTTGCGTTCCCTCGCAATACTTTTGCGTTCCCTCACAATACTTATGCGTTCGCTCGCAATACTTTTG